TTCACATTAAAATGGAAACGTCTTTTGCAACTTCAGAATTCTATGTAAAAGCAGTTTTTATCATATTTTGTGTCCATGCTTCCTTTTTTCTTAACAAAATGGTTTACGAAAAAGAATGTAAACAATTTGTGATCTGGCCAGTTGTACTTTTAAGCTCCCAAAGGGCGGGTTGGTGATATGAGTAAAAGTTATGCAGGAAAACTTCAGGGAGCCGAGCCGTCTGTTGCCAGTAATGTTTCTTGTGTGTGCCATTAAACCACCTCCAGATGAGTGAGGGGACATTCACTTTTTAATTTTGAAACTGTATTTGGAATTAATTGTTGCTGTGTACTAAGAACTTGACCTAAATAAAACCCTACAAAGTATATCCAAGTTTCTTGTGAACCTCTTAAGTGTGTTGGAGAGAATCCTTCCCTATTGCTTTAAACTATTAGTTTTTATTAAAAGCTTTTTAAGTGTTTTGAGCTTTTCTCCCCCAGTAATTTTCCATCCCCATTTTTGCTCTAAGTGAACTTGAGGTTCTTCTGATATCTTTCTCCCAGACACGTGTAACTCTTCTAACATAAAAAAGGGAGCTATTTTTTTTGCCCTAGTTCGGTAAGTGATAAAGTGATTTGCAAATACTTTAGAATACACTTGTCATAATAGTCCAGTTGTGATGCCCAAGCTCCCCATTCTTTAACCTTTAATCACATCAATTGTAGTTTATGCACCTGCACACGTGTCATCACACAGCTTGTTTTGGGTGCCCCAATATCAAACCAAAACAGGTTCTTCAGGCCAGTCCACAAACAGTCAAGTCCCCATGTTTTAATGAAATCTGTGTATTCTTTTTATTAAGGTCTGGGTAAGCTGACATAATGAAAACATGTAACTGAAAAACAAATTCACACTGACTGTATGACTACTGTCCTAAGCCATTACAATAGTTTGCTGACAGTAACTGGCAAGAATAACTTGGAAAATAACTTAATCCAGCAGTAGAATAAAAACATCAGCAGTAGTACTGAATCTCTCTCTCATATATATCTATATATATCGGTCTGTACAGTCAGGGAGCAAGGCACATAATGAAATGAGGGCATACA